TTTATTTATTCCATTTGGGTTGATCATCCATTTTGAGTCAATTTTTGTGCATAGTGTGAGGTGGAGGTACAACTTCATTTTTTGCATGTGGAAATCCAGATTTTAAGCACCATTTGAGAAAAAATTATTCTTTCCTGCATTGAATTGTGTTGACACTCTCTTGAAAATCACCTAACTATAGGCCGGGCGCGGTGGCTCACGCCTATAATCCTAGCACTCTGGGAGGCTGAGGCGGGAGGATTGCTCGAGGTCAGGAGTTTGAAACCAGCCTGAGCAAGAGCGAGACCCCATCTCTACTATAAATAGAAAGAAATTAATTGGCCAACTAATATATATAGAAAAAATTAGCTGGGCATGGTGGCACATGCCTGTAGTTCCAGCTACTCGGGAGGCTGAGGCAGCAGGACTGCCTGAGCCCAGGAGTTTGAGGTTGCTGTGAGCTAGGCTGACGCCATGGCACTCACTCTAGCCTGGGCAACAAAGTGAGACTCTGTCTCAAAAAAAAAAAATCAACTAACTATAAATGTAAGGGTTTTTTTCTGAACTCTCAAATATCGTCTTGATCATTGTAGTTTTGTAGTAAATTTTGAAATTGGGAAATGTGAGTCCTCCAAATTTGTTTTTCCTTTTTGAGATTGTTTTAGCTATCCTGGCTTCCTTGCATTTCCATATGAATTTTAGAATTAGCTTGTCAATATCTGTTCAAAAAGGGAGTTGGGATTTTGATAGGGATTATGTTGAGAATCTTTAAACCAATTTGGAGACTGTTGCCATCTTAATAATATTAAGTCTTCCAATCTATGAACATGGAATGTCTTTGCACTTATTTAATTACATTTAAGTTCTTTCAACAATGTAGTTTCAGCGTACAAGTCTTACACTATTTTGTTAAATCCATTTCTAAGTATTTTATTCTTTTTTGATGCTAATGTCAATGGATTTTTTCTTAATTTCATTTTCAGATTGTTTCTTGCTAGTGTATCAAAATACAGTTGATTTTTGTATTATGATCTTGCATTCTGAAACCTTGCTGAATTTGTTTATTAGTTCTAATAGTTTTTTAATGAATTCCTTAAGATTTTCTATATACAAGATCATGTCATCTATGAAAAAAGATATTTTTACTTCTTCTTTTCTGGTCTGGATGCCTTTTATTTCTTTTCATTGCCTAATTGACCTGGCTAGATCCTCCAGGGCAGTGTTGAATAGAAGTGGCCAGAACATACATCATTGTCTTGTCCCTGATCTTGGCAGAGAGGGGGTTCATTCAGTATTTTTCCATTAAGTATGATGTTAGCTGTGGGGTTTTTGTAGATGGCCTTTATCAGGTCAAGGATTTTTATTTATAGTTTACTGAAAGTTTTTATCATGAAATGGCGTTGAATTTTGTCAAGTATTTTCTGTATCTGTTAAGATGTTCATGTGGAGTTTATTCTTTATTCTATTAATATGGTGTATTACATTAATTGATATTCAAAGGTTAAACCAACCTTGCATTCTTAGGATAAATTCACCTCAGTCATGGTGTATCATCCTTTTTGTATGTTGTAGCCAAGTTGAACTCTTAGAAGTGGAGTAAAATAGTGATTACCAGAGGCTGGGTGAGGGCAGAAGGAAGGGAGAGATATTCATCAAAGGGTATAAAATTTCATTTAGGCCAGCGTGGTGGCTCACACCTGTAATCCTAGCACTCTGGGAGGCCGAGGCGGGCGGATTACTCGAGGTCAGGAGTTCGAAACCAGCTTGAGCAAGAGCGAGACCCCGTCTCTACTATAAATCAGAAATAAATTAATGGGCACAATAATATATTAGAAAAAATGAGCCGGGCATGGTGGCGCATGCCTGTAGTCCTAGCTACTTGGGGAGGCTGAGCAGGAGGATTGCCTGAGGCCAGGAGTTTGAGGTTGCCTGTGAGTAGGCTGACGGCATGGCACTCACCTCTAGCCTGGGCAACAAAGCGAGACTCTATCTCCAAAAAAAAAGTTTCAGGCCGGGCGCGGTGGCTCAAGCCTGTAATCCTAGCACTCTGGGAAGCCGAGGCAGGCGATTGCTCGAGGTCAGAGTTCGAAACCATCCTGAACGAGACCCGTCTCTACTATAAATAGAAGAAATTAATTGGCCAACTAATATCATATAGAAAAATTAGCTGGGCGTGGTCGCATGCCTGTAGTCCAGCTACTCGGGAGGCTGAGGCAGCAGGATTGCTTGAGCCCAGGAGTTTGAGGTTGCTGTGAGCTAGGCTGACCCAGCACTCCACTCTAGCCTGTGCCAACAAAGCGAGACTCTGTCTCAAAAAAAAAAAAAAAAGAAAAAAAAAGTTTCATTTAGACAGGAGGAATAAGTTTTTGAGATCTATTGCATGGCCTGGTGACTGTAGTTAATAATAATATAATGTATATTTCAAAATTGCTGAGAGTAGATTTTAAATTTTCACACCACACATGAAAAAATGATGAGTATGTGAGGTGATGGATATGTCCAGTAGCTAGATTTAATCATTCTATAACGTAAACATATATCATGATATTACATTGTGCTCCATAAATATATATAATTATTATTTGTCAATTAAAAAAATTTTAAAAAGAGTATGTAATCAGTGTCATGTCCCAGTGGAAGGAGCTATGAAGAAAAATGCTCCCCAGTATTGTTTTTGTTTTGAGACAGGGTCTTGCTATATTGCCCAGGCTGGTAAACTCCTGGGCTCAAGTGATCCTCCCACCTCAGCCTCCCGAATAGCTGGGATTACAGGTGCGAGCCATCGCACTCTTGCCTATTTTTTTTTTTTTTTTTTTGAGACAGAGTCTCGCTTTGTTGCCCAGGCTAGAGTGAGTGCCATGGCATCAGCCTAGCTCACAGCAACTTCAAACTCCTGTGCTCAAGCAATCCTCCTGTCTCAGCCTCCCGAGTAGCTGGGACTACAGATATGCGCCACCATGCCCGGCTAATTTTTTCTATATATATTAGTTGTCCAATTAATTTCTTTCTATTTATAGTAGAGACGGGTCTCGCTCTTGTTCAGGCTAGTTTTGAACTCCTGACCTTGAGCAATCCACCCGCCTCGGCCTCCCAGAGAGCTAGGATTACAGGCGTGAGCTACCGTGCCCGGCCAACTCTTGCCTATTTTTTTTTTTTTTTTTTTTGAGACAGAGTCTCGCTTTCTTGCCTAGGCCAGAGTGAGTGCCGTGGCGTCAGCCTAGCTCACAGCAACTCAAACTCCTGGGCTCAAGCAATCCTCCTGCCCTCAGCCTCCCGAGTAGCTGGGATACAGGCACGAGCCACCATGCCCGGCTGATTTTTATATTAATATATATTAGTTGGCCAATTAATTTCTTTCTATTTTTATGGTAGAGACCGGTAGAGACGGGGTTCTCACTCAGCTGGTTTTGAACTCCTGACCTTGAGCAACTCGCCCGCCTCGGCCTCCTAGAGTGCTAGGATTACAGGCGTGAGCCACCACGCCCGGCCTTGCCCTATTTTTAATAAAGGTGATATGAGTGTTCTTGTACAAAGGTTTTTGTGGACATTTAAACAAATGTTTATTTTGAAATAATTTCAAACTTACAGAAAAGTTGCAAGGGTAGTATAATGAATTCTGCTGTTCCTATTGGCCAGATTTACCAATGGTTTACATTTTGTCACATTTGCTTTATCGTTCCTTATGTCTATTGCATTATTCTTTTCCCTGAACCTTTGGGGAATAGGTTACATACACCATGCCCATTTATCTCTGAATAGTCTCACAGGTACAGTTGTGAGTGGGCTTTGGGGTTCACCAGTGGGAAGGTGGGGGGCATACTGAGCTCTGCCCCAAAGAGGATTCATACCAGCTTAATTTCAATACTATATAACAATTTTGTTCCTATAGAGCTCTGTTCTCTCTCGTGATGATCAGTTTTATGTGTCACCTTGGCTAGTCGCCAGTTGTCAGTTACTCAAACACTAATCTAGGTGTTGCTGTGAAGGTTTACCTTGTGGATGTGATTATTGTTAATAATTTGCTGACTTTGAATAAAGGCGATTATCCCACACAGGTGTGCATAGCTTTCCAGATTCTCAGGAATATGTGGGAACTTTCAGAACCCTCTGTGGGCATCTCGTTCCTCAGCTTTTCCTTGTAAGCTTACGGGTCAGTTTCTCTGTTTGCCTCAACTGTTGCCAACGCTGCAGCTTTGATATTAAGCAATTGTCCCTGGTTGTTTTTCACAAACGCCTCAGGGAAAAGGTTATTGGAATTGAGTGAAAACTGAATCAGATAAAATTTTAAAAATCCCTGTCAGTGGAGGTTTCTGGAGAACTTCCAGAGAGGTCAAATAATGACAATTATCTGAGAAGTGTGTTTGGGGAGAGCCCCAGACCCCTTCTGCCCCCTCCAGTGGCTGCAGGGCTGTTGGCTTTCACTCTGTCTTGCAGGGCTGTTAATTTTTTTGTTTGGTTTTTGTTTGAGAACGTGGTCTCACTTTGTTGCCAGCTAGAGTGAGTGGCCGTGGCATCAGCTAGCTCACAGCTACCTCAACTCCTGGCCTCAAGCAATCCTGCTGCCTCAGCCTCCCGAGTAGCTGGGACTACAGGCATGCGCCACCATGCCCGGCTAATTTTTTCTATGTATATTAGTTGGCCAATTCATTTCTTTCTATTTATAGTAGAGACGGGGGGTCGCTCTTGCTCAGGCTGGTTTTGAACTCCTGACCTTGAGCAATCAGCCTGCCTCAGCCTCCCAGAGTGCTAGGATTACAGGCGTGAGCTACCGCACCTGGCCAGCGCTGTTAATTTTTAAAGCTACTGCAAAGCTGGGGCTAGGAGGATGGGACTAGCACAAATTAGTAATAAAATGTTACAAACCTGGCTGTTCTTACTGAGATTCAGCTGTTTTTCTTAAATAAATGTTCCTCTGATTGTTACAAGCTTTTGGATAATTTCTAGAGTTCTGAAAAAGTTGTGACAGTTTTTGTCAGTGTTCTCATTGCCTTTCCTTCCTTTCCATTCCCCTCTGTCCTAAGGATGAAAGCACAGAGCTGACGTCCAGGTGTCCCGTCTGCAGGGAAGCCAGCAAGCACAGGTGAGTAGTTCAGAACTCAAAGATTTGTGTGTGTGTGTGTGTGTGTGTGTGTGTGTGTGTGACAGAGTCTCACTCTGTTGTCTGAGCTGAGTGCCGTGGCATCAGCCTAGCTCACAGCAACCTCAAACTCCCAGGCTTAAATGATCCTCCTGCCTCAGCCTCCCAAGTAGCTGGGGATACAGGCATGCACAACACTTGGCCAATTTTCTATTTTTGGTAGAGATTGGGGGGGGTCTCGATCTTACTCAGGCTGGTCTTGAACTCCTGACCCCAAGGGATTCCCCCCCATCCCCCCCCCAGCCTCCCAGAGTGCTAGGATTATAGGCATGAGCCACTGCGCCTGGCTGAACTCAAAGATTTTTTTTAAACCTTTGTAACTTCTCCATGGTTGTTTTTTTTTTTTTTTTGTCGTGCCAAGTCTATTTCTCCACAGGGTAAAAATGCAAAGGTCCTGAGGGCCTGGGCTGCATAGTTGTGATAATTGTGTAATAATTGGGTAATTGTGCTCAGGAAGAGGATTTCACATGTCCTTCTCTGACATTGAGAATAACACTGTGTACTCTGTGAAGCGGACAAGCATTTTAACTCTGACAATGTCTGCAGGTTGGTTCCTGCATCCCCCTCTTTGGGTGTGATGAATTTGCTAGAGCTGCTCACAGAACTCAGGGAAACTTACTTGTGGTTACTGGTTTATTATAGAGAATATTTGGAAAGATACAAATAAGTAGCCAGAAGGAGGATACATAGGGCAAGGTCTGGAAGGTTCCTGAGCACGGGAGCGTCTGTCCCAGTGGAGTTGCACCCTCCAGGGAGGTGGATGAGTTCTTGTTCGGCTTCCTGTCAGCCTCCACGTGCTAAGCTATCTGGAACTCTCTGAGCCCAGTCCTCTTGGGCCTCTTATGGAGACTTCACTGGATTGAAAACTGTGCAAAAATGTGATTGGACAATAAGGGTATGATCTACTGTGTTTCCCCAAAAATAAGATCTACCCATAAAATAAGCCCTAGCAGGATTTCTAAGCATTTGCGCAATATAAGCCCTACCCTGAAAATAAGACCTAGTGATGCACGTGGCTACGCAGCGCATCTGCACAGCCCATGCATTTCGTCGAGGGAAGGTAAAGAAGATGAGCAGCCCTTCTCATCTGCCCCATCGTGACAGCTACTATCCCAAAGGTGACGGGAAAGGTGCGGGCAGCCCCACCAACAAGGTCGGCTCCCCCTGTCAGGTCCGGGCCATATCTCTCAGCTACAAGCTGAGGCTTTGAGGGGACAGTCTCCTCAGTGAAGTGAGGAGCCGAGAGCTCTGCTTTAGGCATTGTGTGTCCCCAGGGGGAAGAAGGTGTAAGATACTGGGCTATAAGGACAATAGACACCTTCCAGCTTCTGTTTACTGCTTGCTTGCTAACCGCAAGGCATTATGAGTATATTATGGGATGCAGAGGAGAAAGACAACTCGGAAACCGGAGTCTCTCAGCTAGGACCCGGAACAGGTTGGAGCCCATCAGGGCCAGGATGAAGTAAGAGTCACTGTGGGGGCGGATGCATGACCAGCATGTAAACAGCTTAGGTATAAAAGGCTCACTGGCACACAAAGGGGGGTCCCTGCCTGAAGAAGAGGCCACTGCACTGGCACTCTGGGAGCTCAGACCCTAGCTCAAGCTAGACAATAAAACTCCTTTTGATAATTACAGCCTCGGTGACTCTGTCTCTCTGTCCCGCGGCCCTGTGAATCTCGGCTATATAACAAAGGAAGACTGTGGCTGCCATTTTACTCAGCACTGTGGGCCTTTCTCACCCCCCACAAACACCAGGGGACAGGGGGAAAGCTTCAGCAAGCAGTCTCCTACTGAGCCCAGAGAGAATAATGCATCCCCTGAAAATAAGCCCTAGGGTGTCTTCTTGGAGAAAAATAAATGTAAGACCCTGTCTTATTTTTGGGGAAATACGGTACTAATGGATGGTGTGTGGAAACCCAGTAAGGCCTGTCTGTTCTGATTCTTCTTGGCCTCTCTGAGCAGCCTTCCTTCCTCCAGGGTATGGAGCAGGACCCCTTCAGAAATGAGGGTTTTATGACCCACAATCAGAAAGGCAAGGGAAGGTTAGAGTCCCACTTCACATAGGTGACAACAGGGTAGGAGAAAGAGCGAGAGATGCTGTTTTCTGAGGCCTTCCTCTGAGGCCTAACAAGCCCTGGCGTTATAACAAAAGACTCAAAAGACTGTAACAAGGGCTATGGGAATTATGAGCCAAGAAAACCAGTCATATCACAGCCAACCTACTTATACGCCATGGTAAGCGACATGAATATAAAGATTATGAATTGTACCACAAGTGCCATGGGTGTGGGGGAGGACAAAGACCTTGCCTGGGAAGGGGGGTCAGGCCACAAAGTGAGGGATGGTCACACCCAGCCAGGTCTCACCCAGTCTGTTCCCCAGAGCTTGTGGCACTGGCTTCTCTACACCGGAGCTCTGGTCCATTGGAGTCACGTAACGCAGGTTTGTGCGCCCTACGCCAGACCCTCTTAACCAGAATCTGCAAGTGAGGTCTGGATAACTGGGGTCTCTCCAGCTGGTTCTAACGCAGCGGGGCCGCAGTCCAGCACTTGGGAATCACCGGCTGGGGCGCTGGGCACTCGGGCACCTTTCTTCACGTGCAATCGACAGTCAGCAGTCGGATCACTCTTTCTGGCCACGTTGGCATGTGCTGGTGTGAGTCACTTTTGGGGATCTTGTCAAAATGCAGGTGCTGATTCAGCAGGTCTGGGCTGGGGCCTGGGAGTCTACATTTCTTTCTTTTATTTTTTGAGACAGGGTCTTGCTCTGTCACCCAGGCCAGAGTGCTGTGGCATCAGCCTAGCTCACAGCAACCTTAAACTCCTGGGCTCAAGCGATCCTGCTGCCTCAGCCTCCCGAGTAGCTGGGACTACAGGCATGTGCCACAATGCCCGGCTAATTTTTTTCTATATATTTTTAGTTGTCTGATTAATTTCTTTCTATTTTTGGTAGAAACGGGGTCTCACTGTTGCTCAGGCTGGTCTCAAACTCCTGAGCTCAAATGATCCTCCCGCCTCGGCCTCCCAGAGTACTAGGATTACAGGCGTGAGCCACTGTGCCCGGCCTACGTTTCTAATAAACTCCCAGGGGAGGCTGCTGCTGCTCATAGGGTTATACTTTTAGTAGCAAAATAGGAAAGTGGCTCAAATGACTAAATTTGCTTTGCTACCCCTTAGCTATGTATTAATTAATAAATAAAGAAAAATAGCTATTTGTTATGTGCTTACTCTCTGTGAGGCACTGCACACATACTACATACTCACAGCCATTTTATGAAACAACTGCAATTATTATGCCCTTTTCACAGAGGAGGAAATGGAGCCTGAGACAGACTAAGTGATTTGCCCAAGGTCACAAGCTGGTGCCCTTCACTCTCAGGCTGTGCTGCACCCTCTCCTCCCTCCCTTCTTGGCCCCCATGAATCTACTGGCTCTTTCTAGAGACCTCCTCGCCTAACCATGGTCTTGCCTCATTCCTGCCTTTTAGGAATTCACGAATCCAGCATTCTGTCCCCACATGTCATTTGTCTCAAAAGAAATAGCTCAGCGGAGGTCACGTAAGGCTTTTTGGATGTCTGCCTCTCACCAAATGCTGCCCACAAAGGGTTCTACTATTTTTTACTGGAGACAGGAAGAGAGCAAGCGGAGGACAAACTGCAAGCGAGACAGGGAGCACACCAGGTTTGCTGACAGAAAAACAGAAATAAAGTCAACACACTGGTGAGAATCCGTGGATGTCTGTCTCCAACCGAGTTACCAGGATGTCAATTTCTAAAACTTATTTTCTCAGATTGCTGTGAAGAAATATGCCATTTCCTAAGACTTAAATTCTCGTTGTTTTGGAGAGAGAGCTTTTGAGACCTAACGCTTTTCCCCAAAACAGAAACCCCTAAAGATGAAGCGAAAGGCAAAAATACTCCTGTTTCACGTTTTCTAAGGAACTGGCCGATACGATAAACAAAAACGGTGTGGTTCTGACCGTGGCAACTGGACTCACATTCAGACAGAGGGGGGCGGATGACCTGGTTGTAGGGACTTTTGGTGACGACCCCTGGGAGGGCTGGAGGTGGGTGTGAAGTTTGAAACACCTGAAGAGAGAGCAAGGGGCCTCCTCTCCCACCACGGTGGTCTCGAAGCCCGTGAGCAGGTGGGCTGTACGCAGCACGTTCTCATGCCTGCAGTCACGGGAAGTGACAACCTTGTCCAGTAGGTAGGAATAGGAAGGACCACTTTGGAGGGAATTGAAACAAATTACATTTTATTGGTGGTTATTTGCTATCTGCAGTCAGTAGTTATATTATTTTTCAGTGCTTTCAAGAGATAGAAGAGAAATACTGGCCCCAGCTGGAAGGCTTCCATTTTCCTTCTGGCCGCCTGGGCTTAATTGACAACATCTTCACCTGGTACTCCTAGGCCCTCCGGTTTTCCCCGTGGAGCTTTCCACAGCTTCCCAGATTAGCTTTATTCTCCTAACAGCCCTAACAGTTGAAGCCTTCAGGGCACAGTGTTCAGGGTGACTCTTCTTTCTTTGCAAGTTTCAAAGTCAGTTCACCCTTCGAACACTCCTTCCAGACAGACCATTGCTTTTTCCTTTCTGGTGTCCTGGTACTTAGACATTCAAGTGGGGACTCTTATAGGGGCAAGCCACTGGACCACTTGAGAGAGCCCCATTCACACTTTATTCTATAGCTCCCTTTCCCCCCCCCTTGGAGAATATAATGCAATTACTGGAATTGTGTCAAGAAAGCAGCCCAGCTCTTATCTTTAAAAAATGAAAAACGTGACTTAGAAATTAGCTTTTTGTTGGAAAAAGTGTCTGCATTTTTAAGATTTTTGCTGGTCATAAATATAGCAAAGATTTATTGAGAATTTATGTGCCGGACACTGTGCTAAGATTTATCAGCTTCTAATTTCTAATCTTTACAACAGTCCTGTAATGTAGATATTTATGCCTATTTTACAGATGAGGAAACCGAGCCTTAGGGAAGTTAAGTAATTTGCCCAAGGTCACACCTTTAGTAATCAGCAGGGTGGGAAATCCAAACCTAGTTTCACTTTTCCCTGAGTCAGGTCTCTATTCTGTTAAATAAAAGAGGACCCTAATTTTCTAGCCGTTTCCCCTAAGCTCTGGAGACATACACATACCCACACAAATTATTTTACTAGAGAGGACTTTTAAGGGCCATTTTCTTTAATAATAATTTTTATTTCTTCGGGCTGGGTGCAGTGGCTCACGCCTGTAATCCTAGCACTCTGGGAGGCCAAGGTGGGCGGATAACTCGAGGTCAGGAGTTCGAAACCAGCCTGAGCAGGAGTGAGACCCCCGTCTCTACTATAAATAGAAAGAAATTAATTGGCCAACTAATATATATAGAAAAAATTAGCTGGGCATGGTGGCGCATGCCTGTAGTCCCAGCTACTTGGGAGGCTGAGGCAGCAGGATTGCTTGAGCCCAGGAGTTTGAGGTTGCTGTGAGCTAGGCTCATGCCACGGCACTCTAGCCTGGGCAACAAAGTGAGACTCTGTTTAAAAAAAAAAAATAATAATAATAATTTTTATTTCTTCTGAGAGTTAATCAGGTTAATATAAATGGCTATATCTAGAAATAGAATGTTTCACTTTCATTTAAAAATATCTTTTTACTCCACTAGAGACTATGTCTTTTTTTTTCTTGATTAATCTTTCTTGAACCATGGCACTGGCTTTTGTTCTCAAGCATATTGTCCTCTCAGTTTCACCTTTCCTTCAAAGAAAGTCCATGAGCCACTTGCTTAGGATTACAGGTAGAATAAAAACGAAAGAAGGCAAGAATTTTCTAAATTTAAAGTGCTGGAAAATCCAACATTTTATTTACTACATTTTGGTGACTACATAAATGCTGAAACATTTTAACACTGAAAAGCATGATGGCATCATCACTTGCTTTTTTTTTCTTTTTTTTTTCTTTTTTGCTTAGCAAACACAGCAGATGATATTGCACGGCATAAAGTGAGAACAGTAGCGAAGCTTAAAAAAAAATGAAAGAAACCTTAATGCAGTACAGGAAATACTCATAAACAAACCAGAATAATGCCTAATGCATTACACTTTTTGTTGCTACACACAAAAATACAGAAGAAGCATTGGACAGAGAGAAAGAGAGAGAGAGACAAAATATTAGCAAACAACCATAACTGGGTACAATAATCATTTAGTCTGAAATGTCGATGCAACGTAGAAACTACCACTGTTTTCTAATTGACAAAGAAAATGACAGCAACATTTGTCTTTTATCAAAAATCTTCTAAGCCCCTCATGGTTAGGTTTTTAATTAATTAATTATGTATTTACCTTTTTTTTTTTTTCTTTTTTTTTTTCATTGCTAAGGAAGAACTCCCTCTGCTCTTGGAAGATTTTCTACACTACTGATCTTTTTTTTTTTTTTTAATTTTAATTTTTACCTGATGATTGTCTTAGGCACCCTCCTTACATAATAAACCATCAAGCTAACTTGAACAGGGAAACTGAGTCACAAACAATAGCTAAGGTCAAAGGTGTACTGAAAATAGAAAAGGGGTAAGGGACAGGTCTAAGTGAGTGACAGATGGGCTGATTCAGAGGGGACAATAAGCACAGGGAGGGAGATATGAAGACAACTACCGAGGCAAGTGGAAGACAAGGTTTTAAACTTTATTTTCTTAAAAAAATTCTTGTCGCTAGGTTCAGACGGCAAATCTAAAATGAGCCCACAATGATTATGTCATAAACGCAGAACATACCACAAAAAAATCAAGACGGACACAGAAACGGAAAAGGTGACCTTGTGAATACAGCTCTGCTCAGCGCTTCACTGCGGATGGTAAAAGTCAACTCCCTCGACCGTTTTCCTGGGTTTTCTGCAACTAGCTGCTCAGCATTTGTACTTAAAAACAAAGAACTCGTCATCGCTTACCAACAGAGCACTGACCGATCCTGCAACTCAGAGCAGATTTATTGCCCTATTAAAAATACATAATGAGTATAAAAATGTTCTTAAGAAAATGTAACATTTTGACCTGAAGTCTAAGCCCTCCCTTTCCTTCCCTGCCCTCCCCGAACACCCCTTGCAAAAGAAACTAAGGTAAAATTCTTGTGTTGAGAGGGGGCGTATTTACATCTATGGGTTTATGACCTGTAGTTGAAACAACTTATTTCAGCAAAATAAAACCAAATAGTGGGGCACCGGCTTTTCTGTGGATGCTGCTAGTCTGTTGAGAATCCTGTGTATGTGCTCATCTAAAGCAGGGCCTGCTTTAGATATCTGAACTGCCTCGAGTGAGGGGGTCCGGGGCACAGATCGTCTCTAGTGCAGGAAAGAAAACTAGGGGGAAGATGAAAGAGTGAGAAGAGACAAACTCTAATAGTCCTGGGGTACATTCACCCCAGGGACCCTGACATTTGAGGGTAATCCTTACAATTTTGCTAGGAGTGTATGGGCAGTAATGGGGGCAGTCTTGGCTAGCAGATGTGAAGAGGGATATGTAACTTTGAAAGATTTTTTTTCCCTTAAATTCTATTGATAATTGATCGTGTTTTGCAGCTTCCATGAGCTGGCCAGGGGCACAGGGGCCGTTGAGTCAGCCACTGTCCGCCTTGTCTTCCTCTCTCAGGGCATGAAGCCTTTGACACTTTCACCTTTGCAAAAGGAACTGTGTTCTTCTCCATGCCTTGGCCCCCGGCTTGAAGCAATTCAGAAACTTGGGAAAACGTAGAGGATTTCCAAATTCAAGTTAGCTTGTCTCTTTGACTTTTTACACCCTTTACTTCTCATACCCGTGTGAATGATGAAAAAAAAAAAAAAAAAAAAAGGAGTAGCAAAGTATCTCACAAATGCCAGTGCTTTGAAATATCAAAAAACTCTTAAATTCTTTGGAATTTCAGGTCTTACCTGCAAAGTAATCTTTTCTAAAAAAAAGTTAATAAATTAAAGGAAGAACACGAATAATGCCTTTTCTTCTTTCTAAACGAGAAAAAGGACTACCTTGGGACACTCATTTTGGCATGTACATGTTTCTGAGGGGGGACCTGGCAGTGTTCACAGCACACGTTGAAGTGCCTACTAAGAAAAAGATAAAGATACACCCTGCAGTTAAGAGAAGCTCTTGCCTTCAGCTTGTCTTAGCATCAAGAACAAAAAGATTGTAACATAAAGCTTTGGCCATTTCGATTCTACTATATACATTTTAAAAACTACACAGTCATAAATTAAAGCAGTGATTAAATAAGCTCATATAAAATGTAATTAAATTAAAAAAATCACAGCACATTATAGAGAAAAATAGGAACCAGTTTCACAAAAAAAGGAGATTATATATATATATATATATATATTTTTTTTTTTACCCTGTGGAAAAAAATTTTCTACGAAACACAAAAACTTCATAAGTAACCATCAAAATGAAAATCACTTCTTATTCCATTCTTGCATTTTTTTACACAACCCTTAACCCACCTGGGGAACATTTCCAGAAATTAAGTCTTCCTTGAGCAATAGAGCAGTTCTGCCAAGAAAATAAACCCCAAACCAAAGGGGAGGGGGGACATCCCAAACATACAAACTACAAAATAAATAAGAATTATAAAGTTTTTTTTTTAAAGTAACCTTAACAATTATCAAACTAGTAAGTTCTGCCTTATCACATAGACTCTCTATACAACATAACCCTAAAACTTTATTACTATGAGGTATTTGGAGGAATTGGTAAAAGTGATGCACGGCCTGCCTGGTGGGGGGGGGACCCGGTGAAGTGGGGTGGGGGGACCTCGAGAGGGAACAAGGAGGAGGAGCTTTGGTTTATCAGCAAGAAATTGGGGAAAAAAAGTCATCCTTTGGTATCAAAGAAAGTTTCATTGCATGGTTGCACGGAAAAAGCACCACGGTGAATAATTATTCCTTTTTTTTTTTTTTCATTAGTGGCCTTTCTAAGAGGCTGAGGTATTCAAAGAGTATAAGGTGAGAGAGGTCAACAGCGGTTTAACACTTTGGTTCAAGCAAGGCACTCGTCCTAGGAGTTTACAAAGTTTGCAACATGTTTGCCTAGAGATTTACAAGTAGAACTAGCAGTAATAAGAGTAGTATTTCCTAACGTTGTTGTTATCATTATCGTATCTTTATTAAGAATGAAGACAAGTTTACACACTGAGTGAAGAGTGAGGAGGGGAGAGGAGGTGGGGGAAGGGGAGGGGCGGAGTTCCCTCTGCAGACCAAGGCCGTGCATGAAAATATCTTTGGTATTCTTTGGTATCATCAATGTGATTAAAATCACCAATGGAAATTGAGTGAGGTAGCGTCTTTGGTTCACACTATAAATAGTAGATCTTTACACTTTTTTTTTTTTTTTTTTTTTTTTTTTACACGTGGAAGTAGCTATTTCTTACCATCTGCTTCTCTGTCCTTGCTATTTAGGAAATAGTTACCAAATGTACTGTAAAGCTAACCACACCACAAGAATAACCCAGAAGGCCAAACAGTGTCTCAAAACAGCCTCTGGTGTTTGAATGCACCCTAAACAACAAGATAGAAAAGGGAGAAGTGCTTTCTCTTTGTTTGCTAAATGCATAGTTTTCATCCTTTATGTACAAAGAAGGGAGGACCTTTCTTAGGGAAAATGCCTTTCTAGCTCATGTGAAAATGTCCTAGGACTCTTTGGTATAGCAAAGTTTGCATTTAACCTGCAAAGATGGGTCATTCACCTGGGGTAAGCAATGGGAGTGGAATGAGTCCGAAAGTAGCGTAGTGCTTTTATATTTTCCTGAAAAAATAATTATGCTCTTTTGGGGGGGGCACAGTGAGTAACATGTTCATTGAGAACTTCTGGAGTTCCCCACATATTTTCTTTGGTCTTTGGAGTCTATTCCAGCTGCATATAGGAACTGGAATACTCTACTTCTGAAATCCAGAACTCTTTCACCTGAACATTTACTGAAGCCTGGGTTTTTGGGGTGTCCAGACTTTATTCCTCCCTGCCCTCTTTCAGGAAAGCTTCCAGTCATGAAAGGACCTGAATGATTTATGGTCAAAAATAGACTAACTTCTATTCTACTAAACAAAAAAGTATTATTTGAAGTGCAGCTTTGGAATAAACAAGCCTACAAATAAAAGAGTGAGATAATTTTTTAGGGGGGGATGAATGCTATGAAGGGGTTGAAAAATGATGGGTGAACAAATGGCACATGATCTGCTCTGTTGAATGTAGGTTAAACAAATCCAAGCCATAAATTAATGCTACTAAACAGGGACGGAAGCATTTTTTCCTACATGCCAGTTTGGAAGCAAGTAAAGAATTAGTCCTACTTGATGTAATAAGTGTATTGCTTGTGAGAAGCTAAGTTTGTCCATTATGATTTCTAAAAAGCAAAGGTTGTGAGTATGCTTAAACAGTCAAGTAAAAAAATTGCTTTTCAGGCTCTGATTTGTGCATCTGTTTATGAGAAAATATATCTCTAGGCCCTGAAATTGCATAATGGGTGCAAATTCAATGCTGGTATGAGAATTATCTTTGGTGTTAGCAAACAGGATAACTGTTTTTTTTTTGTTTTTTTTTTTAAATTATGGTGGGATAGTAAAAATGAAGTAATATTCTTTGACACTGTGCCTACACATACCAAAATAATTGGCTGAAAATATAACATGCACTTGGATTAATTTGGGGGGGTTACATAGTAAAAACAAAGCAAAAAAAAATGGTTGTCTGAATTTAACTCTTGTTTTTCCTGGGTCATTGAATTTGGTAAGATTATGTGTGAGATATAGCTTGAATTTCCCTGCATTTGAAATTATCATATTTTAAATAAATAAGGCTTTCCTCCCTGTGAAATTATAAATACATTGGCTGTATCCCTGGCTCCCTCCATTCCTGGAGAGAGAGAAAAATGTTAATCAGTTTCTTCCTTTTTGTTTATGTCATTGACTAGTTTACATTTCTCGCAAATCTTGAAGGGTGGCCATTTAAATGGTCTCTTTTAATAGCTGAACTGTACTTGTGCCATATTTAGAAGGGAAAATTTAAGCTGGAATTTTGGGTGAAATAAAAAAAAATACTAAGACAAAATAGGTCAAGGCAAAAGCAGTATTTCGTTAAAGGAGAAGTCTATGTTGGTTTCCTTTTCTCATCCTACAGTAGACGTGAAGGAGGCACAATAGATGGCTTGTTGGTTTAGCTTCACCTCTCCAGGTACCTGTCTGTTTTAGACATAGACAGGATGCTCAGATTTGATGCTAAGGAGTTAGGTTTTGCATCAAGATGATTTATTTATTTTTCCTTGGCATTTTGATGCATCTCAATAAACAACTTATTGTCAGGATAATATTTAATTTCATATCTCTAGTTAGGTGTGGTAAGTAACTAAGAGTATCCAATTCTTTACCTAATGGTACAATAGGCATCTACTTATATAAATTACAATCCAACTGAATTCAGAGATGATTTTTCTGGGGATTAATTGATTCCCTGGGGTACCTTTATTATCTTTTTTTTTTTTCTTTTGCCTTGATTTCTACAACACCAGTTAAGTGACTTGAAAAAATAGAAATTTAAAAATTTGTATTTGGAAGCTCAGATGTAGTATTTTATCTGTCCCTGTTAGAAAGTGGAATCTATACTATATAATTTCCAGCTTAATGCAGTAGCAAGAAAGAATGTAGAATGCTATGAAGGCTATTCTTAGTGAAATAAATTAACACTTAGGACCAAAAGTCTTGTCTTCCACTAGAACTCTGCTTTTCCTATGCAGTCCCACCAGTTCTACCATTTCTCAGTCGCACTTGCTGTTCTGCTGATGTCCAAATCATAAAATGCCTGGGATTGGCAAGAATATCAGTTTGATTACTTTTAGAATGGTTACAAATACTAGATAGTTCATTTTAATAACAATAGTCATCTGCTTACTTGTGTTTGTATTTTTAAAAAGGTATTTGGTGCCAGATACATAAAGCAAATTTAAGTCAAATTAACCTAAGTATAGAGTTCTTTACTTAGCAGTCTCTTACTAAAAAGCATTACGTTGAACAGATTTTTGTTTATTTAATTTACCTACCCTGTTAAACTTAGCTTTCTAGTGTAAAATGGGGTCCTACTTTGGAAGGATCCCTAGGTTTTCTCAGCTAGGAACAGATTATGAAATCATGTCTATCTCTCTACTTAAGTGACATTTATGGATCCTGGAAAGGAGTGTGCTGTCTGGATGTACATGTGTACTGCATCGACCTCTCTTCCATGATATTAATTGCTTCCCTGAAGCTACATTCTTTCTTGCCAGTTCTGAAAACTCATATTTTAAATGCTTCAAGAGTCATAAATAATAGTCATGATTCTACGTGGCATGTGTGTTACAGCTAGATCAGTTCATACGTTATAACTTTACATAGCATCTTGTGTAAAAATAGCTTTGGTTATTAAAATCATTGCAATAAAATACCTGCACTATAATATTAAGTGTGTTCTTTGGTACCTAGGTGATTCTTTTTTTTTTTTTTTTCCTTAATGGATGGACTCTTGTTTCATTTCTTAAAAAATATCTGAACATTCCTTAACAAACAAAGAGAATGCACTGGTTTAGGTGTCATTCAAATTTTCTTTGCTGGGTTTGAATCTGCATTTAGGTTGCGGGCCTGGCAGGTTCAAACGTTAGGCTAGACGAGCGAAATCACACTCCTATAATCCAACGAACTCAGACAACCCCATACTACGTTGGTCGCATTCCCACAACACAACTCTTCCTGAAGACCAGCCCTGCCTAAGTCTCTAACCACTGGTGGTGTGTGTTTGTGTGTGTGTGTGTATGTGTGTGTGTGTGTGTGTGTGTACACATGTGCACACCCATGCACAGTACTGAGACACCATACACCTTCATGGCGTGGTAGAACAGATGAGAAAGTCCGACCTTAAAAGATGTCCACTCAGTGGCTCAAAACCACTAATGCTTCAAAGCACTAAACAGCCGAGCACAGTGACAATGACCACAGACTGAAGGTGTGAGATCCAGTGGCGTTTCCTGCTCATCGTTTCTCTTGCCAAGTCGTCGCCCCGCTGAAGTGTGTGTCTCCGAACAAAGTCAGAATGCAGGTGAGCTAAGTCTTTGGTTTCTCTGGACTATAAATAACACTTCTTTTTTTTCTTCTTCAAATATTTCTAAGAATAAACCTGCTATTTTGAGGTTCCTGGTCTTTAAAAAAAAATTTTTTTTTTCTTTTTTCTTTAAAGCTTTTCCACCGAGGTTTTAGTTCGTGGTTCTTCCTTCATGCTTTGGTACAAGTGCTTGATGAAGAAGATGAGTTGCCTGAATTGGAGCTGCCCTCGTCCTGCCACTTGTCCAGACTCCTCCTCCTCGCGTTCATGAAGAAGTTGCTGACGGTGCTCAGCTCCAACCCCAGCTGCTGGGAAATGGTGATTTGCAATTCTTTGGATGGGCGCTTATTTTCCTTGAATATTGCATGTAGGGTTCGGCGCTGGACATCTGTGAAGACCAACCTGGGCTTTTTGGGTGTGTTGCCTCTGTCCTTCCCATGCTCTTGCTCTTTCCTTTTGCACGCTGTAAAGAAACACAGACGATGTTAGAACAGATTGGCTGGGAGATTCAAGAGCAGAAAGGCAGAGCCCATAAAATTGTTAGCCATTCTTCGTGGCCTGCTTCCTGTCTACTGACCTTTGATTTAAGCACTGTGGGGGAGCTGAGAGGGAAGGGTAATAAAAGGATGGAGAATTGGGATGCAAGTGGAATTCTGAGAGACCCGGGCATGGGTAAGGTTATGGCTGAATGAACTTACTGCTTTCAACTTTTATTTCTACATCTGCAAAATGGACATAAGGATACCCATCTTAAGCTGGGCATGGTGGCTCACGCCTGTAATCCCAGCAATTTGGGAGGCCAAGGCAGGAGGATCACTTGAGCCCAGGAGTTCGAGTCCAGCCTGGGCAACCTAGCGAGACCCTGCTTCTACAAAAAATAAAATAACTAGCCAGGCATAGTGGCAAATGCCTGTGGTCCCAGGTACTTGGGAGGCTGAGGTGGAAGGATTTCTGGAGCCCAGGAGTTTGAGGTTGCTGTGAGCTAGGCTGATGCCACAGCACTCACTCTAGCCTGGGCAACAAAGCAAGACTCTGTCTCAAAAAATAATAATAATAAATAAAAGCCCAATTCCCTCAGAGCATCGAGCTATATATCCTGACCTAGGTGAGATTCCCCAAATAGAGTTCCTCTGCCCTTTGGAGCTTAAGGGACAAGTCTGGGATAGACATACAGACTTGGGAGTTCTCAGGGTTCTGGGTGGTAGATTACACAAAACACATACCTATGGAAAAGTAACTAACTGAGCACTGGGTACAGACTCAACTTGTCATTCAAAAGGCAGAGAGCTAAGGGAAATCACAAAGAGATATCCATTTTCCACCTAACCAGGATGTATGCTTGAAATGACTTCAATCTGGTCCTCAGCATTTGGCAGGATTGCGTTGGCTGAAGCTACCCCCGAGCCAGTGTTTCCCAAATGGCCTCAGAGGGGCGATACTATCTCAAACTGGGGTTCCTTGAAAAGATGATTTGAAGGCCAAGGACATTTAGAAAACCTATTATATATAGCCTTTTCCTCAAAATTCACTACCTATGTGAGCACACGCAATTCTGTTTTTCTAATTTATTTAACCCCAGAACTCTTTTTGGTGGAGACCGTCGATTGTCTTATATAACGCCAAGGGTGGGGAAACGCAGCTGGGCAGTTCCTGCCCTGAGAGCTCAAGCACTGCAGGTGTTACAGTGCCAGAACCTGGGAAGTGAGATTCTCTCGGAAAACGGACCCTGGGTGACTCATTCCGAGTCTCCAGAGCAATTTGGCACACAGCCTGGTTGTAAGGGGAGCTCAGTATCCCTGTGGGTACAGAGTGGGGGAGCGTGTCTGTGAATAAATAGATGTGGTCACATCTGAAGAAAACTGCAGAAGCTGGGTTTCTGAGTAAGAAAGCAGAGTTATAAGGGAAATGCAGAGTAGACTAAAGCTCTTTTTTTTTTTGAGACAGTCTCACTGTGTTGCCCAGGCTAGAGTGAGTGCCGTGGCGTCAGCCTAGCTCACAGCAACCTCAAACTCCTGGGCTCAAGCAATCCTTCTGCCTTAGACTCCCGAGTAGTTGGGACTACAGGCGTGCGCCACCATGCCCGGCTAATTTTTTTGTATATATATTAGTTGGCCAATTAATTTCTTTCTATTTATAGTAGAGATGGGGGGTCTCACTCTTGCTGAGGCTGGTTTTGAACTCCTGACCTCGAGCAATCCGCCCACCTCGGCCTCCCAGACAGCTAGGATTACAGGTGTGAGCCACCGCGCCCAGCCGACTAAAGCTTTTTGAGAGTCACTGGGTGACCAGAGGGGCCAGAGGAACAACCCAGAGAAATAAAATCACACTTCTAGACGCTTTCTCAGGACTGCTAGAGCTGTTAGAAGAATACCAACAAGAGCAACGCTTTGGAATTTCCACGGAATTCATTTCAGGGTGGAGATTACCATCGTAAGGTAGGAAGTCCCCGGCTGAAGGCCATGAGTGTCCACACAAATGTGCAAGGTAGAGAGGAGAGTTGGGGAATGGGAGCGGAACATCGCAAGGGGAACAGCAATGCACGTGTTTTATGTGAAAGTGATATTTTTCGTGTGGGTATACAGTTTCCAATAAAGAAGCTGGACGTGGTGGCATGTGCCTATAGTCCCAGGTACTTGGGAGGCCAAGGCAGGAGGATTTGCTTGAGCCCAGGAGTTCGAGGCCTGCCTGGGCAACATAGCAAGACCCTGTCTCTAAAATATGGAAAAAATATTTATCATACAACTGGATTAAAGGGAAGGGGATCCCTGCTGTCTGTGAAAGGTAGTACTACAGATGGACTAGACCTATCACGAGTCTCCTCCACAAAGGTGAGCAAGCAGGTAGGCTTGCAGGATGCAATGGTAAAGTGCAGTGAGGGTGGTTTCGGAGAGGTAACTTTTCTCTCTATGAGAGAGGTTGACCATAGTGAGTACTACAAAGGAGGCAGAAGTAGGCACGGAAGATGGTAAAAGTCAGAGCATGACTCTGTGCACCTCCGGAGGAGGAGGAGGAGGAGGAGGAAGAAGGAAGAAGGAAGAAGGAAGAAGAAGAAGAAAAGACCATGAGAATGTGGGCAAAGGACAGAAGCTTCTACTTCAGGCATGCCTGGGGATTGTGCTCTGCCCATAGTAGGCCAGGCAGAGCCAAGTATGTTTCAAGAAATGTGACTCTGCAGGAAGTTGAAAGGTATTTTGTGAACAATAAGTTGTGACACCAAGTTGGTTTAGGAACTGCTGTTAATTAATGATTAAACAAGCTTCTTTAATGTAGGACTTCTCAGAGCCTTTAATATGCTAATGTGTATCAACATTTTTTGGCTTATGGGGCTCCCCAAACTTATTTGACCAAGGAACTCTTTATTCAGGGAATTTCGCTCAGGAATGATGTTCCTTAGAACAGCGTTTCTCAAGATGCGGTTGGCAGACCTGTGCCGCTCTGTGAACTGTTACTGACCTGCAATAAGATCAGCACAGAGCATTGAAAACAAGCAATTAGAAATGTTTATGGCAGTTTTTACATTGCTATAACATTCAAGTGTGCGATTATTTCTCTAGCGATACATTTTATATTATTTTATATTATATTACCAAAACCATGGGTCCAGGATGGATGGAAATTAGAAAGAAGCCAACAAACAACTAGTCCTTCACTACTTAGAGTTTCAGGAGTCCTGTCTTAGAACACACTTCATAAAACACAGTATATAGCAACATCCTAGAATCGGCTGTCAGTCAAGCATTTGTATATGAACTTATATCCATTTTCCTGACTTAATGACACAAAGGAATTCAAACATCTAATGTGCTCATTGAATTATTTAAGAATCTGCTAAGAATTTATCTGGGCACAGACACATTGCCCTGGGAGACATTTATAAAGCCAGATGAGTGCATAGTACTACTTCTTAGATGAACCTGGACTCCAAAGACACAAGCTCAAGCCCAGCCCTGTGGGTCTATCCCTCCAAATATTATTAACATATCAATTTGGGGATTAACTTTCTAACATGTAAAATTTGACACATTCAAACCACAGCACATATATTACCCTATTTAATGCTTATTACCATCCTGTGAGGTTAGAAGCCATCATCCTTCATTTTGCAGCTGGGTTCCCTAAGCACAAAGGCAAGGGACTTGCCCACGATCACACAGCTCTTGGTGGCCACAGAGCTGGCTAGAGCCATATGCCGACCAATTACCCACTCCTGTGTGCCTTGTATTCTGTGAGTCCTTACACTCCGGCCAAGTATCCTCTCCCTCCAAACAACTGCCCAGTGGATGTCGTCCTAACGTCATCTCAGGGGGAGTGGGCCAGAGAGAAGTAAAGGGCAAAGGCTGAGATGTCCAGCGTGCAGTGACACTGCCATGCCATCTAAAGACAGCTTGGCATTTTCATAAGGGCCTGCTGGAGACCCGATCTCTTCACCCTGAGTGCCGATGCCAATGCTGAAAGCTGCAACCCCCGCAGGGCCAAGTGATCTTGAGCAGGTGAGCCTGTGACGCCCAAGTCACTCAGGGAAGGTCTGGCTGGATGTGGAGGAGGAAGGTCCAGGCAGCTGTTAGGGCCCTCAGTCGGTTGCTGCTCCAGCACCTCCGGGGACAGGTGGGGGTGCACTGACAGGGCAAAACACTCCCTGAAACTCTCAAGAGCCAGCCCAGGGCTGCTACCTGGATTCCCACAGCTTGGCAGCAGCGTTCCTGCCCACCCTGCTCAGGGGAGCTTAGGGCAAGCAAATGCACCAGGATAGGCAAATCCGTGGGTTGGTGGTTGCCTGTGGCTAAGGGGGTGTTGGCAGGAAATGGAAGTGACTGCCAATGGGTACTGGCTTTCTTTTTGGGTGTGTGTGTGTGTGATAAAAATGTTCTAAAATTGACTGTGGTGATGGTAGCACAGCTCTGGGACTACACTAAAAACCACTGAATTACACACTTTAAATGGGTGAATTGTATGGTTTGTAAATCACGTCTCCACCGAGGCATTCATGCAGCAGCAGCTGGGCATGCACATGGGGTGAGGCCACGGCTGTCACCCCCACCTGCCTCTGCTGGGCCGTGGCGAGGACAAGAGCTGGTTGACTGTTCCTGTGCATTGAGCCCCCAAAGACCCTCTCTCGTCAGCGGAAGATGCTTTTCAAAGTAAACTCTAGGAAGAGATAATATACGTGGCTAGGCAAGCATCCAAATGAACAAGATTTCAGGGAAACAATGCCAGGGTAGAGAGAGACACATGCGGGGGGCGCTATGGGAGTGAACGTGCAGGTCGGCTCCCGCGCCCGTTTCCCAGGCCAGTCTCCCCTGCTATGGAGGTGAAAGAGCCATAGAAACCTTCCCTGTGATCCCGACAAAACTCAGGTGAGGCAGACGTGGGTCTTCTTCCTTTCCCTGTAGACAAAACACTGTCAGGGAGGGGAAGGTGACTTGCCTGTGGGCACACAGCTGGCTAGCTGGGGACTGGGGCCTC